TGTTAGAGAGTCCCTGGAAAGAACAAATACACATTTTATTTAGCCTTTAAGCAAAGCATTGTAAAAATTGAAATCCACATGTGAATGTGTTCTAAATGGGAACCCAGGACATTGAGCCGAAAGAGAATAATAATAATAATAAATAGCATTTAATTTTGTATAGTGCATATCCCCGCTCAACAGCAGGCCCAAAGCACTTTAAACTATATTATTACCCCAGCAGATCATAGAACACTCCGAAACATTCTCAGCTTCCCAGGAAGCATACAGTGCAAGCTGCTGATTAAGCGCTCAAACACTAACAAACTGACAAGATCTTTCGCTGTTTATAGCCGGGTACCCATTCCCACAAGTGTGAAGTGGGGAAAATTCGTGTAAAGTGCCTTTCCCAAGGACGCAACGTCGGGTCCCTGACGGGAATCGAACCAACGACCTTACGATTGCGAGTCCGAGAGCCTAACCACTAGGCCACCGACGCCATTCATAACCGAATAATTCAGTAAATAAATTGCCAAACGGACGGAAAAATGTTTTCTATTTTATTTTTTTGACGAGCGCCTGATTTTATCACGATGCCACGATATTACAAATTGTCCATCACTTGGTGTGTGCGGCAGTGGAAGTATAAACCAAATTACCCCTTTAGTGAGCATGCCGTTTTAGTATATACACTCTTTATACAAACTGTACTGGCATCAAAAGTCGACACATTTTGACATACTATGAAACCTGATTTTTTTTCTATTCTAATTAACTTTTTAGTTGGCGAGAACAAGTGTTACTTCCACAATCACTGAATGACTGTTTGTTTTGCCTCATCATCATCTCATCATCCGGTGCCTTGCCGACTGACGTGGGCAATCATGGAAAACCACTTCACTCTGTCTAACGTTGTAGCAATGGTGTCCGTTGTTCTTGCTGCTTCCAGCCATGTTGACAACTTGTCCAGTATCTTTTCCCTCTGTCTGTCTCTCTTTCCATCAAACTTGCCTGTTGTTACAATATTTTTCAAAGCTTCTTTCCGCATTGTGTGTCAAATGAAATTTGCCTGTCGCTTTTGCATATTCGTCATAAGCTGTAGTCTACAATTTGCTTCAACCGAGACTTCTTCATGATGCCTCATGATACGTGTCACAAAGTTATAGTCACAACCAGCGAAATTATAGAACGTCCTTCTTTCGACAGTACAGTCGTGCAACTGACCCAAAAACCAAGAAGTGTTAGCCAAGTTACTAAAATCCTTGGTTAAGTTTATTTTTTGACTAGGTATACTATCCTGTCATTGTAAATAGGTATACATCGTTTTCCTGTTTGTGTTTTAGCTTTCTTATACCGATAAGTTTAGTAAGAACTAGAATATTGGCGATCGGGGATTGGGCCAACACCCCCATTTTTCTCCCTTCACCATCTTTTGAAAAAAATACCTCGTATAGTTTTAACGCTACTTGTAAAACTGTAAGGCTATTTAAGTGGTAGCATCTCGGAATGTACCGTCTGTGTCCGATGTCATCAAGGCAAATTGTGAAAATGTGTATAACGAGCCTTTCCTATGGACACAACATCGGACGGAGCTAGGTCTCAAACTCCGGCACACACAATCTCTCGATTACGAGTCCGGTTTTCAAACTCCTTAAAAAACAAAACAACCTCAACCCCCTTCACACTTAAGTTGGGAGGTCATCTACCACCCCCACCCCATCCCCTTTTTGTGTTAGTCGGAGGCCCTACATGTAGCACTTACGGGCTTCCGCCGGCCAGACGTAATGCCATACCCCACAGGCAGCTCGTTATAAAGAGAGGTATAGTTAGAATAATTAGTTGCGTATAACCTAGACCATCTTAGTACGACAGCCATCGACTGTAAGAAGAAAGTACCGTAAAAGGATCGGCCTCACGTTGTCGCTAATGAGGAAAAAGCCCGGATCAAATTCTCGCTGCTTTCGTGCCGGCTAATGACGAATGTATTGAGACAAGTAGCATTATTTTCTCTGGTTTCATACCGTTAGTATTAACAAAGAGGAGCCCTCGGGTTCCATTTTTTTCACCTCTTAAATACCCCCCCCCCCCCCACCCTCTCACCCCAGACACCGATAGACCTTACTTCACCATGTCTAGCCTTTCAAAAAACTTTATTTCTCATTACCACTCTGAGGTGCTTTTTCTTGTCCTATTTTTGTTCTTTGTCCTCTGGTCCTATAAAATTTGTGTCTCGACGCAGTGGAATCAGGCTCTCGTCAATTTTGGGGCATATGGAGTTATAGGTATCATTTTAAGCTGGTCCATTTGCCTTGATTTTGATGAAAATGATATCTATTTATCTTGGATATAAGTCAAGATATTGGTGATAGAAGGAGGAGGGGTGGCCTTGTTTCGGAGGCAAAATTAGGGAGAAAATGGCCTCCAAAGTTGAGTTATTTCCTAAACTTGAGAGTCCATGGAAACTGAGAATTTACATTTCTTATGCCTCAAATCAACGTTTTTCAGCACAATCCACACACAAACGTGTTTTTAACTCGCAGAAAAATAGAATGCTAGTTTCTTCACTTTGCCTATTTTGACGAGAGCCTAATTTCACCACACTGCCTCACATTTATTTTCTATTCGGGTCCGACACTTGAAAGACAATACCGTTTTAAGACAAAGCACAGATGATTGTACAAATGGTACACATCTATAAACACTCTTAAATCATTAAATTATAGATAGGTTGCCTCAGCACGTACAGGATGTATGGGATACTATTCCAGTGGAACGACCGAGATACTTAAGAAATAGCTACCCTACGCACACATGCCTACGTAAACACACACAAACAAACACACAAACACGAGTAATTAGACAGACACGTGCGTGCGTGCGTGCGTGCGTGCGTGCGTGTGTGCGTGCATGCACGTACAGACGAACATAATGTACGAACGTACATACATACATTCTTACATACATACATACATACATACATACATACATACATACATACATACATACATACATAGAATTCGTATCTTGTGCAGGCTTGGAGTGTAGCTGAACTATAACACCTCAGATAGCAGTACAGTGTTATGTATATTCTCCTCCTCCTCCTCCTCCTCCTCTTCCTCCCCTTCTTCTCTTTCTTCTTCTTCTTCTTCTTCTTCTTCTTCTTCTTCTTCTTCTTCTTCTTCTTCTTCTTCTTCTTCTTCTTCTTCTTCTTCTTCTTCTTCTTCTTCTTCTTCTTCTTCTTCTTCTTCCTCTTCTTCTTCTTCTTCTTTCTTTTATTACTATTTCTAGTAGTAGTAGTAGTAGTAGTAGTAGTAGTAGTAGTAGTAGTAGTAGTAAAAGTAGTAGTAGTAGTAGTAGTAGTAGTAGTAGTAGTAGTAGTAGTAGTAGTAGTAGTAGTAGTAGTAGTAGTAGTAGTAGTAGTAGTAGTATAGTAGTAGTATAGTAGTAGTAGTAGTAGTAGTAGTAGTAGTTGCTTTAGGCGATAGTATTTTAAAAAAATTAAACTACTATGCTGAGGTGAAATTTTACGTTCAACGTTAAATTTGTTAAAACTGGACTATAATTTGTGAAGATGGAGAAGAACAAGAGAGCAAATGAAGGAACGAACAAGCGAATGAACGAACGTACTAACTGATCAATATTATGTTGTACTCTTTTTGGTGTGCGTTAAATTGTGCTCATGTTTGAAGTAGAAACTAAATGTTTTTAAGCCAAAATATATATCATCATGATTTTCTTCCCCCGAAGAAAGTCTATGTTTGAGAACACTCTCTATCCAAACACTCACATTTCACCACTCCAAGTGCGTTGAACGCAATGTGCAGAGCTCGAGGTCGGCAGCATGAAATCCACTAGATCTATTTGTTCATCAATGATTGTTCCAGAATCTTCTCCAAATATATGTACGCTCGTGACGGTGGACATACACATTATAAGCATATTTTCTAAGTGTTTTCCAATATGTTTCCGAAAGGTTGCCTGTGTGAACCTACCATTGATTTCAGCGGCTCCTCCTCCTACTTTTAATAAACTATAATACAATTTTTTAGCTCTGTGAAAGGATAATTCGTCGTAGGTGGCAAAATGGAGTGCTTTAAGCGGAAAATGGCCGAAAGCCACTTCAGGCTCTAATTATGAGAAAGGGGAGTACTCTCGTTTGACTATTACCTATCAATTTATTTTCTTTTACTGCGGCTATTTGGTGATGGGGGGCTTTGTTTAGTACGGGTAATTATCATTAATTACAAGATAAGCGAAAGATCATTAGACGTTTGAGTGATCTTTTGCTCGAGGCAAAGTTGAATTGTTTCTGTTTTTTGGTGTGTGTTCGTATGTGGGTGTGGGGTTTTTTTTCTCTAGAAGACTGAAATGATTATTATCGCAATTACTGTAAAGCAGGCAGCTTCCAACCCAGAGCAATTATAAAATTGATACAAATTGAGAGCGATTCTATCGACTGTTTACGAAAACGGTAGTTTTTTTGTGCATCGAATTGTTGAAAACATGAGCCCCAGGGCCTCCAATATCTGTTCCACATTGCGATATGGATTCTAGTTCAGGGGATTAAATTGTACTTTAATTTCCTCAAGCTTCAAATTTCTTTTGAAAGGTCCATGGTGTCTCATTACTGACTACTAACCTAGATACGATATCTTGTTCAATTTCGTTCTTTCAACGTCATTTTTTGTTGGATCCATACAACTTATCTGTTGGTTGACGTGCTAAAGAGGGCAAACCATTTAAAAGATGGGCATTTACTGACAAATCTTACTGCGAGATTTGATGTTGAACACCATTGTCATTTCTCAGCATTTGAAAAGTTAGAGTACAGAGGCGACCAGTACAACTCACTTACGCAGAGACGTTCATGTTGAATGAAGAATAAAACTTACAAACATAGCTTATACTGCGATCTTGCGTGAGGGAGTCTGAATTTGTACACGCTTTTATCTCAAAGAAATACTTTAAGAAATAGAAGAAAAAAATAGATATATATATATATAAACTTCGGCTGAATTAAGATGTCTAATTCCACCCAAATCCCCAGCGCTCCCGCCCGGCAGATTGGCATCATTTACGACGGCTATTTCGTCCCTCGGGAGGTTCTGCACGTCTCTCAGATCTGCGTGGTCCACATTCTGCAGCTTAGCCTGAGTGTGTTCGGAATGTGCACCAACATAGTGAACATTTTGGTTTTCGCGAAAATGTCTTTCAGTAACAGCGTCATCATATCTTACTTAGTCCTCTCACTATCTGACTTCGCCTTTGTCGCTGGAAGTCTGCTCCAGATCATCATTCTAACGTTGGTCAGGGTAGGTGTCAAATCCTACGTTCCTATCCACCACCTGATTTGTCTCGTGCAATGGGGACCGAGAATGTTCTACGACGTGTCCGGCTTAGTTACTGTATTTATAGCTTTGCAAAAATGTTACTGTGTTGCCAGACCGCTCAGATTTAAAACTGTCTTCACTGACGTTAGAACATTTGTTATTTTACTGGTGATATGCTCCACCACCGCTATCTCTTACGTCCCGTTGTACGCGTCCCAAGGTCTCCGCTGGAAGCACGTAGGGCCGTACCGCAATCAGAGTAAACTGGATATCTGGTTTTCCGAGGACTGGCAGACGGTGTTCCGCATTAATGACATGGGCAATAGGAACGTGCTCCCCACCATCTCTCAGATCATCGTTCTCCTCTGTCTACTCGTCCTCGTCCACCGACTGCGCGCCGCGTCAAGATTCCGCCAACAAACGTCCACAATGGAGAAACAGCAGGACAACCCAGAGGCAATGTCCAGTCGAGACGTACAGGCGGTGAAGGCTGTCAGTTTGGTAGCAGCCATTTTTGTCATTTGTAATTTCCCCTTGGTGGTAACCACCTACGCTACTTTGGTTGAGCCGGAATTTAACAATTATCGCAAGTATCATAACTTGTACGTTCTAATCTACGACCTTAGGTATACGTTCTTATTGCTCAGTGCGTCCGGCAACATGCTGGTCTACTACAAGTACAATACCAACTATAGGGAAAGGCTGTATCAGGTTCTGCCTTGTAAGAGAGGTACAAAGGAGTAGCTTTGATTAGAAGAACCGCTTGTTAAACTCTATGAAAATCCGGATCACTGTATTCTTCCTTCCCTTTTTCTTTGTCTGTTTTAATAGAGACCCATGTGATAATGCAATTGTTGACGTCTCCCAAATGAAACATGAAACTTTAAGAACCAGTTTTTAAAAATAAATTTTAAAACGTTACCATCTAAATGGTTATAATTTTAATGACGAGGTAAACCCCGTATGAATGGGCGAGGGTTTTTGGAATCGAAACTACTCTAAAATCTATTTCTGTTCGTTTCATCACTAATCTGTGTTGTCAAAAAAGGGAGAAACATATTAATAAAACAAGACGAACAAACAAACAAACAAACAAAAAAACAAACAATTGAAAAGCAATTTAAATATAAGTTATCTTAACAAATACTCTCAGAAAAAAAAAAAAAAAAAAATCCCCCCCCCCCCCAAAAAAAAAAGCATAAAAAGGAATAAAAGGCTTTAGAAGTTTTAGAAAACGTTGATTTGAACGGACACAACAGATACGGAAACTGTCAATGATCAAGTTTTTGCCCAATTTTAGCATCTCTGACAAATACGCTGCCGGTGTGTTGGCTGGTTTTTGGAACAAAACTTTATTACATAACCTAAAACTAGGGGAGGCTTTAGGCTAAAATCCCCCCCCCGCCACTTATTTGACCCTTGTACAGTATACCAGAGATTAAAGTAACAATACTGAACTTCCAATTTTTCATCACTGCAGCACAGTTGGCACTGCTTAACAAATCCGCATAACCGGATTTGATCAAGTTCAGGTAACTAAGACAAAGTTTTCTCTCGTGTTTCTTTTTTCTTTTTCTTTTTCCCTTTCTCAAGAATTTCCAGGTTTAAACTCTCAAACAATTTGACGTGTCCACTACATGCTTATGGAGGGTGCCCACAAACGCGATCGGGTCAGGTCGGGCCGATCTGGTAGTCAGATTGAGGGCGCAAAGCGGCCATCGTGGCACAAACCTATCGACTCGGTCGGTGACCTACAAAAATAAATGCGTTTGTTTTCAGGCCTGCGAAACGCACGATCGGGTGGTTTGCAGCCAATCAGAAGGCTGACTCACGTGTCCATGTTGACGCTCAAAATCTGGGGGCGCTCTCTTCGAAAAAGTGCAGACTTTGCGAACAGAGTTACCCTACTTGGGTGAAAAACAATAAAAGCAAAACTAACAAATTGTGCTATTCCTATTCTTCATCAGGAGAAACGAAAGAGAACTTCAAAACAAAGACTGCAGCACCACCTGAACCAGTGCGCGGACTTCCGCGGACACTTTCTTGGCCGAGAGAACTAGAGCTTTCTTCTTATGAACGATCTTTAATGATAGAAAGTTATTGAAGTAGCTATTGTAATCATGTTTATGGGATTCCAGGCTGCCGCAGCACTGCAACAGAGAACTGCGGAAAGGAGCCCTGGAAGCTATTGAGGTTAAAGGTTTCTCTTCTTTAACGTCCAGGTCGTCGGGTACAATCGCTGCGGGATTGTAGTGTGCATTGACACCACCAGAAAACGACCCGACACGAAGACCCGACACGACCCGACCCGATCCACTATCGCTAGTGGCACCCCTTTTACGATCTAGGAACGATCTGCATGTAATTTGAACATTCATTGCTTTTTCTCTACCTCCTTGTTTGAAGATCACAGTGGTTGCTACGGCTCCTTAAACTGTTTTTGTTGTTATTGCATTTACTCCTGTTGTTGTCGTTGTTGTTTTTGTTGTTGTTGTTGATATTGTTGCTTCTGATGTCGTTGTTGTTATTGCTGTTATTGTGGTCGCTTCTGCTGTCGTCGTCGCTGTTGTTTATATTGTTTGTGTTGTTGTTGTTGTTGTTGCTTCTGTTGCTGTCGATATTGCTGTTATTATTGTTGTCGTTTGTTGACGTTATTGTTGTTGTTTGATATGAAAGTTTAGAACATGGCACCATTTATCGCAGGTTCCTCAGATTGTGGGAGCCAAGCTTCACGCTTGGCTAATCTACTTAACTGTGTCGACTTAATCTTATAAGAGTGAGTACCTCGTCTTGCCTCATTCTTATAAAAGTGAGTATCTTGTCTCGTCTCAGATGATCGAGGATTCGGTGGTGGAGCGGTTAGTGCGCTCGTCTCCAAAGCGGAAGGTCTGGGTTCGAGCCTCGGTTCGGACACGGATTTTTTTCGGTCCCTCTTGCCCACCCTGTCCAGCAGTAATGGGTACCTGACTTCGAGTTGGAGATTAAAAGACGGCGTGGAAAGGAACTGGCCACCCTGCCACAATATGCCGGATGCCCAGGAAGTTGTCTCACTAACAAGGCAATCCCCAATGCCCGGATCGGATGCTGACAAAACTTTACTTTACAAATGATTAAAACAATTCTAGAGTGAACATGTTCATATCAAAAGTTATATGTGAAAAAATGTACCTTTTTATATTTCAATAGGACTGTCTATACATGCTAGAGTGAAAGGAGAATTTCTAGAACAACGAAAGCTAAAGAAACTTTTAAAATCGAAGTAAACAAAAATAAATAGGTTCTCCCCATCGTTGGCCTAATAACATTATTGGGCTTGATGTGCCGATGACGTGATTCGTATAAGAATTTATTTGGCAATTTGGTTAACACGTCAGCAGACGAGGGCTGGATGACCGTGCGGGATCACCCCGCCCCCCCCCCCCCCCCCCCCCACTCTCTCTCTATCTATATCTATCTATCTATCTATCTATCTATCTATCTATCTATCTATCTATCTTTAAGTCCTTCTTTCTCTCATCCCTTCTCTCCCTTTTTGACATCTATGTGAGTGTTTCTCTTTTACTTACTCTTTATTTTCCTACTTTTGCATACTCCCTCCTCTGACGCTCATATGACCTTATGCAGTTGCGAGCGCCGTAAAACCTCTACTAAAAAAATACTCCCCCCGCCCGCCTCTCTCTCTCTCTTTCTCTCTCTCTCTCTCTCTCTCTCTCTCTCTCTCTCTCTCTCTCTCTGATTGTTTGTGTGTGTGCGGTGTGTATGTGTGAATTTCCTGGAAGCAAATTTACGAGTCTTGTGTGCAGCAGCCAAAAGACGAATCATCACACCACAGCAGACACCAGTCTGCAAGAAATAAAAGAAAACAATTTTTTAAAGAATCTTTAACAAGTAGCGACGCAACAGGAAATCTTGGTTGTGACCCTTTGTATCTGTGGAATTTGGTCTATATAGCATGCATTTGACAAAGACTCTCGATTTGGAATGGCTTAGCATGGACAATAACGCCTTAGTACAATTTGAAACTTGGCGGAGGTTTTGAACTAAAGCTTCCCCCCCCCCCCCCATTAAAACACAACAAAACAAAACCAGATAAACAAACAAACAACAACAACAACAACAACAACAGCAACAAAAACTTGGATCCTAGAGAACTCCAACAGATTAAACAGGAAAGACTTTGATAATGATATTATAGTTGAGTCTTTTAAATGCAAGCAGTTAAATAGTGATGAACCTGTTACAAGCATTATCATCACACTATCATTATTGTAATTCTTATTATCATTGTCGTTATCATTATCAATAGTGTGGAGCAAGTTAGCGCAGAAAGTGGCATGTAGATATTTTGTGTGTATCTGATGGCCCTCAGACATGTCCTGACCCACATCATTCGGGGGTCAAGCCACAACAAGCAGAAATCCCCACAGTGCGTGAGTATAATGATTGATTGCAAATGGTTGGTTGTTATAGTCCAGTTTTCAGCCTTTAGGGGGCGGCTGATTTAACCCTGCCTATCAATGCAACCCTAGACTAGAGCGGATACCGCATCAAGGCATAAAAGTGAAGTTAGGCGATAAAATAAATCAATCCTCGCGTCATATTGAAGAAATGTTAACTGCCTGGATGGACAAAGTGACTTACCACAATAGTAGACACCAAAAATATCACGCGTGGAGTCTGAAGCAGTTTTTGATA